GCGTGTCCATCATTTGAAACTTTTTTTTCTATGTTAAACAGGGAAATCACTCGTTTGGGAGGATGAAAATGAATGTATTGTTTCAGTTGTGGAGAGAACATACAAAATGATAAATTTTTATTGGGGATATCGACTATGGAGGTTTTTAGCTCTTCTTGAAGCCAAAATAACATCATATCTTAAAATTCTCCCTTCTCCTTTATTTTCACTTGTTTTCGTACATATTTGCCCTTAGGAAGGCCTTTTATTTATTCTTAATTTAAAATTAAATGTTATCTTATTATTATTTTTTTTTTTCCAAATAAACAGACAGAATGTGTTGTAATCATGTTTACAAGAACCGGTTGCAGATCAAATCATCAACATAGTGTTTCTAATCAGGTGTACGAGCAGAGGAAGAGAAAGACATGAAGAAGGAACTAATTAAGTATTTGTTAATTGTTTTATGCAGCCATGTCATGTTGTCTTGTTTAGTTTCTTTTTTGTGGTGTTAAAGAAAATAGTTGTCGAGTTTATTATAAGAATCGGTTTCTCTTATGCAGTAACGAAAATTATTAGAGAAGAATTTGGGGGGGAAAAAACAGTTGTTTCAAACTCTTGGTAATTGTTGTATTCTCTCTCTTAATGACTTAATATTAATTGATCCAGTAACAAGATCTCAAATAGGGACCCGAGAAGTTACTTGTTTGAGTTTCTAATCAAACATAATATCGTTAGGCGGATTAAAGCATTGATATTAACAAATGGATCAGAAATATTAAACACAAGTGGTTGTTATGAAAGTATTATACTGTAATGTACAATGACTGAAAGTAGACATTAGGGGTAGTCTTCTAATTGAATCATATAAGAGAAACGGGAAAGAAAAAATGTTTATGAATCAAGACCATTGAAGTCAGGTTCTGGAGGCTTTTGTACGCTGATCAAGCTTCCAGAGCCAAGTGAATCTGGAATCCTAAGTCGACGTCCTCGAAGAGCATTTGCAGCAAAACGCGAAGCAAAGATGGTTGCTCCAAGCCCGGGTGTAGCAGTAGCATTGCCAACAACATCAGTTCCTAACATACAAGACATTATAGTGTGAAATTCTATCTCGTGATACAAATATATATATATATGTAAATAGTGTGATATAAACAAATTATAATACAAATTAACTATAAGAGTATATTTATCCCTTTACCTGAAACCAGAGATGTCTCATCATCATACTCTTCTTCTTCTTCCTCTTCCTCTTTACGCCTGAGTTCTGCAATCTTCCTTCTGGAATAACGGCGCCATGCTGCCTGAATAAAACAAGAAGCCCATGTCCTCCATTGTTGTGAGTAGAATCTAAATGTGTGTTGCACCTGCCTGCTATGTAGCCTTCTGAATTGACTAGCCACAAACTTCAATTCTTCAGCCACTAAAGCAAAAGCCTCTACCTCAGTTAGAGCCTTAACAGTTCGAGTAGAAGATGGTAAGTTGGAACCTGCTTTAGGATCCAATGCCCATGTCAAGAGCTCCTCGCCACAAAAGTCACCCTCTTTCAACAATCCTCTATTGAAAAAACCACTCCGCCCACCATCTGTCGTCACACTTTCTAGACGCCCTCGTATGATGAAAAGCATCTCGTTTACCGGGTCTCCTTCTCGAACTATATATGTTCTCTCTGTATACAAACTAGGCTTCAATCTCTCACATATTGCATCTAGTAACCGTTCATCCATGTTGGCAAATAAAGGCACCTAAATCCACACGTTTAAATATCAATTCCCATAAGCTAGCTTATTGAGAATAACCAAGAAATTTCACATGTACTTACTCTCCTGACTAAATTCAAACAAAGGTGCCTCTTGATATCTCTCCTCAGATCCTTTGGTAAACTCTGGACCAAGCTTTCTTCATCTACTCCTCTTGTTTCCAGCCATTTGTATTGGTCATATCGTCTAACTCGTTCTCGGAGGTCTTGAGGGAGTGATCGATGATGCATCCACTGCTCCGAGTCACGCCTCTTGATCCTCATTTCTTCAAGACGAACAGTAAGTGATTGAAGGTAGGTCTGTTGCATTTATTCTACACCTCATTATTATTATTGGCTTATCTTAAATCAATTAATTAGCAGCTAATCTCTCTTTTCATGCATCGAAAAGTAGCCAGTTCAATTTCGACCAACCTGCATATTTCCAATAAGAAGTGCAAAGAGGAGGAGCCCAGCAATAGCTATTGCTATTGAAAAGAGAATCTCTCCAGGGTAAGTGCTAGTTAGAAGACCCTGACCAAGTGTACTGTAGGAAAACCATGAGTAAAACACCATATTTATCGATCAAAAAAATAAAGCCATAGAAATATTATACCTCAGATTTTGCAGTCCCCACCATAGACAATAGAAGAACTTAGAGAAAAAGCTTCTTGATGAAATAATACCAGAAGATATAGCCTGTGTGTAGATTCCATAATTAAATGGTGAATCATCATCTTTAGCAGAACAATGACTATTAAGTGTTGCTTTACTAATATTTTTCCAACTGGCATAACCTTCCTCGTGCTTGTTTCCGCAGTACAAGAAATTCACAGAACATAC